TAGCGTTGGGTGTCCTACACATATGGATGTTGCTGCATTATGTAAACTATTAGTTTAGTTTTTGCATTTTAGAATGGGGTACCTTAAGACTGCATAATTTTAAAGGATGCCTTGACTGAAAAAGGTTGAGAAACACTACTTTACAGCAGGGGTCAACAACCCCCAGTACACATGCCACATATGGCACACAGCCACATTTATTCTGACATGTGAGGGATGCCTGGGGCACCCACCTCCCACAAATTAGTGGCAGCTGCGGCTGGCTACACTGGAGAAAGCATGGCTGGAACCATCTGATTTCCCGCCTGCCTCTGTTCCCCTCACCTCACTTGCCTACAGCGAACATTGAAGCAGTGGATGACTGGATCTAGGGGGTGGTGTGCCACGCCCCCCACCCCTTTTCCATGGATGCTGTACCTGAGTCAGTAAGCAATTCCTCCCATCCTCGGTCTGCACTCAGCCTTGACACAGGATGTGAAGCTGAGCAGCGCTTCCCCACACTGCACACAGCTAATCTGATTCTTTTACAAACACAACGTTGATCTGCACAACGTGTAGCTGGCTGTTGCAGTTCTGAGCTGTGAAATTTTTAGATCAGAAAGGCAGCACAGCTGTAACAGCCAGCTGCATACTGTGCAAATCGAGGTTGTGTCTGGAAAAGAATCAGATCTTAGTTGTGTGCAGTGTTGGGTAGGGAAGCTTTGCTGAGTGCCCTGTCAGCAGTGACCCCAATCCCCTGCCCTGCTGACACCCATCCTATCCAATGATGAGCCCCCTGCTGACCCGTCTTATACCTTGTTGACCCCAGCCTTCTGCCCTGCTGACCCCCTCTTATGCCCTGCCGACCCCATCCTCCTCCCTGACCCCAGTCCTCTGCCCTGCTGACCTTTGTCTTCCACCGTGCTGACCCCTGTACACTGCCCTGCTAATTCTTGTCCCCTGCACTGCTGGCCCCCTGTCCTCTGCCCTACTGACCCCCCTTTCTTCTGCTTTGCCGATTCCTGACCTCTGCCCTGTTGACCTCCCATCCTATGCCCACTTGACATTTTTTACTGCAACCCCACATCAAGACAGGGAAGATCCAGTACTGGTTTTAGGTTGGACACTTCACACTGCATGCTCTCATTTTGGACTGGTAATTAACCAGCTATTGGGAACTACTAATTTAGAGGTTTAGGAGAATTTGGACTAATTTGAGGTATGAAGGTGCAGGAATTGGAGTGATCTGAGATGTGAAGGTGCAGGAATTGGGGTGATCTGACATGTGAGTATACAAAAATTGGGACTGATATGAGGTGTGATGGTGCAGCATTTGGGGATGGACTGAGGTGTGAAGGTGCAATAACTGGGTTGATCTGAGGTTTGAAGGTGCAGGAATTGAGAAGATCTGAGGTGTGATGGTACAGGAATTGGGGCTGATCTGAGGTATGAACTGGGATGATATGATGGTGCAGGAATTGGTGTGATCTGAGATGTTAAGGTGCAGGAAATGAGATGATCTGAAGTCTATAGTGCAGGAAATGGGCTGATTTGAGGTGTGAAGGAGCAAAGCTCAATATTCATTTCTTACTGTTATTCAAGTCACTTACAGCATTCCATTTATAAAAATTCCTTTTCGTGATTGAGAGTGTGAAGGTGGCCTTTTTCATGTAGGTGGCACAATCTATTTCCTTGAAAATATTTTCAGTTGCCTACCCTTGCTCTACAGCCAAACTACCTGCTCTCATTTTGGACTGGTAATTAACCAGCTATTGGGAACTACCAATTTAGAGGTGTAGGAGAATTGGGATTGATTTGAGGTGTGAATTTAAGCAGCTCTTTACATGCTATTCATTCACATCAGTACCTGTTATCAAAGGGCTTACAACCTAAGTCCCCTATCTCATATGTGCAAATACAAGGACCAAGGTACACAGGAGCCAATTACCCACCAGCACGTCTTTCATATTTTGAGGGGAAACTGTAGTACCCAAAAGAAACCCACACAACCTCAGGGACAACATGCAAAATGTCTATGCAGATAGTGTCCTACTAAAACAGAGAATCCTAGTGCTGCAAGGCAGAAGTGCTAACTACAGATCCACAGTGGCTCAGTGTAGGTGAAACCAAAACTTATTTTTTTAGTTTTAGGTAGATTAGGAAGGGTTAGAACAGAACACCTATTAGATTTTTATTGCTGTCTCTGTCCCCGTTTCGGTAATTCACTATGTCTACTTGTCCTGGTTTCCACTGTCACCTGGACAGAATGCGATGAGAAATCCATAATTTTACAGTTGTCACCAGAACTTTTCCTTTTATAAAATAGTATGAACCCAACCAATGCAGTACATACGCATAGATATTTTTGCACTATAATGAATAAAATCTCTTTTTTTGGTACTATCTATTTAAGGCAACAGGTATAGAAAACAAAGTGCAAAATCTCCCTAAGCTTACCACAAAGTGTTTTTCATTTAATGTAACATTTCTTTAAAGAGTAATACATGTGGCAGTCTTTTGTTAACAGCTGTTGAAAGGCCTTGCAAAACCTTGTTCATACTGGCATTGTTAAAATCATTTCAACATCAAGATATTCCCTCTACAGAGCCTACATTCTGGCAGAGGACAGAGGAGCAAGCTGAGAAGCTGCCAATGCCCCAAGCCAAACCGGCTGGGTATTGAATTGTTGTTAAAACCTATTAGCTGTCTGACAAGTTGCATGAGTATCAAGAGTAATTAAAGAGTGTGTAAACCCAACATTTCATATTTCTGATATGTGCCTGCCGTACCATGTACTTGTTTAAAAAAATGTATCCTGTTCTCTTTATATTGCTTCCATTTTGGGAAATCCCTGGTTTTCCTACCAGACCCTCTGCCTTCCTATTAAAAGTTGAATACCCTAGGCATAAGAGCACAGCATGGTCAGTTCTCTAAGCTATGCTGGGAACTCAGCCTGCTCCCCTCCAATGATCAGACTTGACCTGCCCCCCCCCCCCCCCCACCCCTTCCACTGGAAAGATTAATGTACTGCTGTTTCTCCTCCCCCAGCTGTTTATGCAGCTGAGAACAGAGGATCACTTATAAAAATAGGAGGGAAAAAGTATTTATAATATTTAGAAATTAATATTTTGGTAAATAACATTTTTCGCTCCATAAGATGCACTTTTTTCCCACAAAAAAAAGGGGGGAAAGTGTCAGTGCGTCTTATAGAGCAAATATAGAGCAGCTGGTCTGGTATTTCCGCCGCCACCACCGTGTCAGAATACAGGGCTGGCCGCTCAGCTCTTCTCTGCAGCAGGACCTTACCTGTTCCTTGGTCCAGCGTTGTGCAGTCTTCCCACGCCGTCATCGTTAGTGTGGGCACCCGGCTGTGACAGCCTGGTGCCCACTGCACATGTGCGAGAAGCGCTGCGCTTTGAGAATTGTCCGGCGTCTTCTGGGACACATACAGTGAGGAACAGAAGTATCTGAACACCCTGCGATTTTTCAAGTTCTCCTCCCACTTAGAAATCATGGAGGGGTCTGAAATTCACATTGTAGGTGCATTCCCACTCTGAGAGACAGAATTGTTTTTAAAAATTCAGGAAATCACATTGTATGATTTTTAAAGAATTTATTTGTCTTGCACTGCTGAACATAAGTATTTGAACACCTAAGAAACTGCAAGAATTCTGGCTCTCAAAGACCTGTTTATTGTGCCTTTAAAAAGTCCACCTCTACTCCACTCATTAATCTAACTTAGTAGCACCTGTCTGAGCTCTTTAAAGACACCTGTCCACCCCACAGTCAGTCAGACACCAACTACTACCATGGGCAAGACCAAAGAGCTGTCAAAAGACTCCAGAGACAAAATTGTGGACCTCCACAAGGCTGGAAAGGGCTACGGGGAAATTGCCAAGCAGCTTGGTGAAAAATAGATCAACTGTTGGAGCAATTGTTAGAAAATGGAAGAGGCTAAAGGCGACTGTCAGTCTCCCTCGGACTGGGGCTCCATGCAAGATCTCACCTCGTGGGGTATCACTGTTGATAAGAAAGGTGAGGAATCAGCTCAGAACTACAAGGGAGGAGCTGGTCAATGACATGAAGAGAGCTGGGACCACAGTTTCAAAGGTCACTGTCGATAGAACACTACGCCGTCATGGTTTCAAATCATGCATTGCACGGAAGGTTCCCCTGCTCAAGTCATCACACGTCCAGGCCCATCTGAAGTTTGCCAATGACCATCTGGATGATCCAGAGGAGGCATGGGAGAAAGTCATGTGGTCAGATGAGACCAAAGTAGAACTTTTTGGTCTAAACTTCACTCGTCGTGTTTGGAGGAAAAAGAAGGATGAGTTGCATCCCAAGAACACCATCCCTACTGTGAAGCATGGGGGGTGGTATCATCATGCTTTGGGGGTGCTTTTCTACAAAGGGGACAGGACGACTGCACTGTATTAAGGAGAGGACGAATGGGGCCATTTATTGGGAGATTCTGAGCAACAACCTCCTTCCCTCAGTCAGAGCATTGAAGATGGGTCGTGGCTGGGTTTTCCAACATGACAACGACCCGAAGCACACAGCCAGGATAACCCAAGGAGTGGCTCCGTAAGAAGCATATCAAGGTTCTGGAGTGGCCTAGCCAGTCTCCAGACCTAAATCCAATAGAACATCTTTGGAGGGAGCTGAAACTCCGTGTTGCTCAGCGACAGCCCCGAAACCTGACAGATCTAGAGGAGATCTGTGTGGAGGAGTGGGCCAAAATCCCTGTTGCAGTGTGTGCAAACCTGGTCAAGAACTACAGGAAACGTTTGACCTCTGTAATTGCAAACAGAGGATTCTGTACCAAATATTAACACTGATTTTCTCAGGTGCTCAAATACTTATGTTCAGCAGTGCAAGACAAATAAATTCTTTAAAAATCATACAATGTGATTTCCTGAATTTTTTTTCAAATTCTGTCTCTCAGAGTGGGAATGCACCTACAATGTGGATTTCAAACCCCTCTATGATTTCTAAGTGGGAGAACTTGCAAAATCACAGGGTGTTCAAATACTGCTGTTCCTCACTGTAACAGGTCCCAGAAGACGCCGGGCCATTCACAAAGCGCAGCAATTCTCGTGCATACGCAGTGGGCACCCACCACAGCCGGGTGCCCACACTAAAGGGAGGACAACTCTGTGGAAGTGGGAGCAGGTACCCACTCCCCCTCCCTCCCCAAAGGTCAGCAGTCTCTTAGTCATCCCCTGTACTGTCTGCAGTCTCTGGTCATCTATACTGTGCCCGCAGTCTCTGGTCATCTCCCGTACTGTGCCCGCAGTCTCTGGTCATCTCCCGTACTGTGCCCGCAGTCTCTGGTCATCTCCCGTACTGTGCCCGCGCAGTCTCTGGTCATCTCCCGTACTGTGCCCGCAGTCTCTGGTCATCTCCCGTACTGTGCCCGCAGTCTCTGGTCATCTCCCGTACTGTGCCCGCAGTCTCTGGTCATCTCCCGTACTGTGCCCGCAGTCTCTGGTCATCTCCCGTACTGTGTCCGCAGTCTCTGGTCATCTCCCGTACTGTGTCCGCAGTCTCTGGTCATCTCCCGTACTGTGTCCGTAGTCTCTGGTAATCTCCCGTACTATGTCCGCAGTCTCTGGTCATCCCCTGTACTATGTCCGCAGTCTCTGGTCATCTCCTTTACTATGTCCACAGTCTCTGGTCATCTCCTGTACTGTGTCTGCAGTTCATTGGTTCAGAATATTTTTTTTTCCTTGTTTTCCTCCTCTAAAAACCTAGGTGCATCTTATGGTCAGGTGCGTCTTATGGAGCGAAAAATACGGTATACACAAATGTTTTGACTTTCATTTCTATTTTAAACTGAATGGGTAGTTTTACAAGGTGAAGGTTTACATACACTTTAAACTGGATAAGGACATTCACTGGTCACCAGATACGGTTATCCTGACTACTGCTAGCACCATATATACTGTCCTCATTTATTATTTATGAGCAGCAGAACTAGAGCAGCAAGACCAATCTTTTTTTTCTACATTAGTAATTGTTATTTTCCAGTGACACAGCTTTTTATGTCATTTAGCTGTTGGTATAATATGTATCTATTGTAAAATAAATAACATAGCTCTTTAGGTAATTGAACCCATCTATTTTTTATGCATACTTCAATGATATCCATGTTTTTTTCTTCAAACTACCAACAAATTACCAACAACTCAGAGACAACATTTTACCATTACTATTTGTCCAAGGGTCAAAAACTCCCCCTCTAGCTTTTTTTGTCGACTTATCATATTTGTTTTTTCAACTTTGACTTAAATTGCCAGACACTTTTTAAAGAAAAAACTGTCACTGTGAAATATTGGGGCTGCCATTGGCTTCACTATGAAGATACTAGTTTCCTTGCGGTTTAGCTTCAAATCTTTGTGAGCTATGCAGCAATCGCACCAAACAAACATGCAGTTAGTGGGGTCAGAACCTCTGATTTGCATACTTGTTCTAGTTCAAACGACTCATACAGCATTAAAACTTAAAGGTCAGAATGATTTGCCATTTTTAGAAAAGATTGGGTAGCCTTCATATTTCTCTCATGACTGATTTCGTTTAAATTGTATGTAAATTCTAAAAGTATTTGCTCCCTTTAGGTCTGTTAAATATACCATTGGATATAGTTTGTTACATCTGCTTGACGCGTGCAAAAAAAAAAAAAAAAAAAAAAAAAAAAGTAAAATTTAGAGCTGTCCTGTGCAACTCAAAAAGCTATCTCGAAGAGCCCTCCTAGTTCTTATCCTGGACTACAGTCTTTATGTTGTAGAGATCTGAGAGAAGGACTAGTTGAGTTAGTTTAGCAAAAACAATGGGTGGTTATTAACAGGCATTTTTTCTGTACTTGCTAGGACTTTAAAGTGATAAAACAAGTGGTCATGTTCATATATTTTTTGCCAGACTACAAAATAGCCTCTGCCACTTAACCACTCTTCGGGGAGGTAAGGTAGTTTTTATTAAAGGGTAACTCCACTTTTGTGGGAAAAGAAATAGCAAAGAAAATGTAATATGACATTTACAATTGTGATACAATTCATATTGAAATTTAATGTTATAAATATATGTTAAATGATCTTTTCTTTTAATCTGCATCACTGTAATTTTCTGGCAACCTGGAGGCATTCTGTACACAGATGGTGCACGGAACACCCCTCAGAAATGTAATTTCCTGCTTGTGTGATTGGCTAACTGATTCCTGAAAAGTTTGCACTACGATACAAGTCAGATTTTTGGCATCCCTTGCAACAAAAATTATGTTTTTGGTGAGATACTCCCAAAGGGAAATCAGGTATAAAGGGACGCAGACCCTGCCACTTTTCTCAGTAGAACCCTGCAGGTGCAGCAGCTGACTGATAATTATGAAATCACTCCCATGCAGATTCATTTTACACATGGACACAGACAAACAGCAATGCTTTCCAAATAACAAAAGGTAGGAATCTACAACAAAGTGTGTTAACATCCTTGCAATGTACATTGATCACCCACAGAGGAATGTGTTTTCTCAACAAAAATGGAGTTGCTCTATAAGCAGATAGGATATGAAAAAAAAAGTTGAGGGAATACATTCCCCTGCTAAAAACTGAAGGAACCAGAATGGAATATGCCTACTTTATATTTTTAATCCATGTTTACAAATAATTCAAATGTTTTTGTGTGCACCTTCCTAGGATGACACCCTTTGCAATACACAAGCTTCACACTGCTTAGGGAATGCATAGTTGTTGCTTATTGTGTATGGTATGTAAATAAAGCAAATGCTAAAAAAAAAAAAATATGTTGGTGTTTTAAAATTGGTCACATGTATCTTTGAAGAAAAAAAAAAAAGATTAAAAAGAGGCAAGTAAGGTTAATATAGATTTACTCTTTATAAATGATGACATTGTCTAAACAGTGATAATGAACACCCTCTCAACTCAGCTAAGCCCAGCCTCAAGAATTAAGCTTGGTATCATTTAGCACAATGTTCTGTTATTCACAGCAAACCCAGAAAAATAGGGATGATGATGTAACCCAGGATCCCTGTTGGCCCCTAAAAATGCACAAGAGACTCTTATCCAGACATGCAGCTTGTAACCATGGCCATAACCACACCAACCCATATGCCTTTAACATTGGGAGGGTGCCTTAAGGTAGGGGGGGGGGGGTCAAGCCTTCCCACTTTCAAGGCACCTGAGAGGACAAGGACCCTGCATCCTAAAAGGGATGTGGGGGTCTGCGGGGGGGCTTATAGGTATCTGGAAGCTCCCTTTTGAATTTAAGGTCCCCACGTATCCTCATTTTCCCCATGTGAATGAGTATCCTTGTTACTCATTTACATTTAAAAAAATGGCAAAGTAAATAAAAGCAACCGCACCAGGAAAAAAGTCTTATATTAAAAAATAAACAATGTCCTATGATGTAAAACCAACATACTGTACATCATATCATCTAGCGATGTAGATCCACATCAGGCATGATGAGTGCTGCCAGACGATGCTGCCAGATCCCCACTGGCTTTTCATTGTAAACAAGCCAGCGGGATCCTGGGTGACATCATTGACAATATATGGATATATCTGGTCAATTACATCACCCAGGATACCCAACCCATTTGTTTACAAACAGAAGCCAGTGGGGATATAACATTTTGTGGCGTTAGTGCTATTATCACTGAATGAGAGATCCCCTGGTTTGGTTACAAATGAAATCTGCAATTTGGTGGTATTACTGTCTGTCTGTAATTGAGCTGCATCTGCAACATCTCAGGTAGGTTTAAGGCATCTCGAAAGCATGTTATGTAAAGGATTTTTGTTTTTTTAATGTTACCCATTAAGTCTCAATAACCACTTGCCCTCCAGCGGATTTACCCCCCTTCCTGACAAGGCCTTTTTTTGCTATTCGAAGCTGCACTATTACAACTGGTAATTGCGCAGTTATACAATGCTGTACCCAAACAAAATTTATGTCCTTTTTTTCACACAAATAGAGCTTTCTTTTGGTGGTATTTGATCACCTGTGCGCTTATTAATTTTCACGCTATAAAAAAAAAAAGACTGAACATTTAGGGCAAAACGTATTCTTACTTTTTTTTGGTAAAAAAAAAAATCCCAATAAGTGTATATTGATAGTTTTGTGTGAAAGTTATAGTGTCTACAAACTATGGTATAGGTACTGCAATTTACGCCATTTTTTTCTATACAGTGCTGCGCTAGTTTAACTGACAATTGCACGGTCATGCAAAGTTGTACTCAAACAAAATTTATGTCCTTTCTTTCACACAAATAGAGCTTTCTTTTGGTGGTGTTTGATCACCTGTGAGCTTTTTATTTTTTTTGCGCTATAAACAAAAAAAAGACTGAAAATTGTGAGAGAAAAAAAATATTTTTTTACTTTCGGCTATAAAAAATATATGGTAAGCTCAAAGTTAGTCATAAATTTAGGCCAAAATGTATTCTGCTACATGTATTTGGTAAAAAATCCCAATAAGTGTATATTCATTGCTTTGTGTGAAAGTTATAGCGTCTACAAACCATGGTATAGATAATGGAATTTACACAGCTTTTACTTTCTGACTGCCTATCACATTTCTTGAGGTGCTAAAATACCAGGACAGTACAAACACCCCAAATGACCCCTATTTGGAAAGTAGATACCTTAAGCTATCTGCTGAGAGGCATATTGAGTCCATGGAAGATTTATTTTTTTTCCACAGGTTTTTGGAAAATTACAAAGTTGTCACTTAAATAATATATTGCTCACACAAGCCATGGGTATATGTAGAATTACACCCCAAAATACATTCTGCTACTTCTACAAAGTAGCCTGAAATCCAATGACCACTTTGAAAACCTGAAGGTGCGTAAGTTCCTCATTTCACTTCCTCACTACCCATCACAGTTTCAGAGGCCCTGACATGCCAGGAGAGCTCCAACCCCCCCCCCCCCCCCCCCCATGACCCCTTTTTGGAAAGTAGACACCCCAAGGAATTTAAAAAGAGTATTTTGCAGAACTAATTTTTTCTCACAATGTTTTGAAATATAACAAAATATGAGATCTGCAAAATACTCACCATGCTTCTTATCAAATTCCTTGGGGTGTCTACTTTCCAAAAAGGAGTCACTTGGGGGGTTTGGGGCTATCCTGGCATTTCAGGGCCTCCAAAACTGTGATAGATAGTCAGGAAGTGTAATGAGGAAATAAAGCCCTTTAAAAGCCTGAAGGTGCTTATTGAATTTTGGGGTCCAGTACTTGGCTAAAATATATATAGACTATTCAAGAGAAAGCAAAAGAAAATGCGGAATCTTGATAAATTAATTCATGACATCAAAGTCCAGATTGAACCCTCTAAAGAGTCCCAGGAAATGATAGGGCTCAGTAATCGACTTAATAAGGATTTGGAGAAATTAGAACAGGAAATAAGACATAAAAAAAGTAAAAAATATCTAAGGGATCTTAATGATTTCAAAAAAGATCAGGTGTTCAAATGGCAAGCCACTCTGTATGCTACAGAAGGGGCTTCTGTTAACACCTCCCCAGTAAAGGATTTAAAAATAGAAACACCAGAGAACCACATATAATGAGAATGAACAGCATAGGGAAACCAAGAACACCAATTATACATATACTAATAATACGAGTGGTTATCACACTCCACGAAATGGGTGGAAACCCAAAAATAGTGGACCGTACTACAAAAAACCTAAAGGGAGGGGAAATGGCAACCAGTGGAGACCTCAGTACCCACAATATAGACCTAATCATAATTCCAGACCTGACTATGGATCCCAATCAACAGATACATATTGCAGACAGGAATATAGGCAACCGAATAGGAGTCCAGGTTACTATACACATGACAGAGGGAATTGGTACCACCATGAAGTAAGAAGTCCACCACCTATATCCAACTGCTATGACTCATTAAGACATGATTATCCCCAAAATAATTTTTTAGAGCGGAGTAGGATGGAGAGAAGTCCGGGAGGAGGAAGGTGGAGAAGCCCCCCAAGAGGAGGAGAGGGTGCAGAGCAGGAGCAAAGAAACAAACGAAAAAGAGACCAATAGGGGGAGGGGTGTTCAACCTAAGTGGGGCCAACTTATCTAGGGAAGAGTTGTAAGTTTTAGATAAGGGCCTTAAATGTGCCCCCCCCCCCCCCAAACCGGCCAGTAAATTTGACATTTATGTTGACACACTGAAGTTTACAAGAAGACTCAATATTAAAAAATATTTTATGGGTCTACCATGCACCAAAACCATTCTCAGTAATGCTTTTAGTAGTGACATTGTACATACAGATCTTAGAAATAAATCTCTTTTTAATCCGCATATCTCAAATAATAACCAGATTAAAGTTTTTAAACGAATGGTGAACCAGGATATAGAAAAACTGAACATCCCAAATACACCAAGGAATAGTGGGATCCAAATAGGCATTCGCAAATTATCAAACAGAGATGAGATAGTGGTTAGACCTGCAGATAAAGGGGGTGGCATTGTAGTGCGATCGAAAGAATACTACCTGCAGGAACTTAATATGCAACTAGAGGACACCACCACATACAATAAACTTCAGAAATATCCCACTATAGCCTATAAAAAGGAATTAAAAAGGCTAGTTAAAGAAGGAGTGGATAAGAAGATCCTGACTAAGAAGGAAGCCAGATACTTAGTACCAGACACTTGTAGGATTCCAGTTATCTATATAGCCCCCAAGATTCATAAGGACCAAGAGAAACCACCTGGTAGACCAATAGTTAATGGTATTGATTCCATCCTTTCCAGACTTGGGCAGTATATAGATATATACCTCCAACCATTGGTAAAAAAAACAGAATCGTATTTAAGGGATACAAAACATCTGATTCAGATATTGGATAATATCGAAGAGTGCTCTGAATTATGCATAGCAAGTGCGGATGTCTCATCCCTTTATACCATTATTGGACGCAATTGAATCCACTAGTTGGGGTCTAAGGGAATTCAGTAGTGTGTCCTGAAAACAAAGTAAGTATATCATAGATTGTCTAAATTTCTGCTTGATCCACAATTATTTTTGGCATGGGAATAAATTCTTCCAGCATATCAATGGGGTGGCCATGGGAGCCTGCTTCGCCCCGAGCGTAGCCAATCTGTTCATGGCATATTGGGAACGTGACTCAGTATATCAACAGCCCCCTAAAGAACTGGTCTTATTTAAAAGATTTATTGATGATGTGCTGATACTATGGCTAAGTTACTAAGTTACATCATTACTAAGAAGACCACCCAGGACTGGGAGGATCGTGTTTTTTTGAGTGATTCATAAGGCTCATTGGTCCTGTGGGGCCTGGGCAGGAAAGTGAGGAGGCACTCCAGCTACTGAGGATTGGCACGACTGCCCGAGAAGGCAGTGGAAGGCAGCAGGGGAGGGGGGCAACTTCTCCGGCTGCTTGTAAAAGCAATCCTGCAGCTAATTAGCCACTAGGATTGTTTTCACATGAAAGCCCATTGCCTGCTGAAAAAAAATGATACCAGGCTGATGCTGGTCCTTCTTGGGTGTATGTGCTATGTTCTTTTTTTTTTATGCAGCCTGTGGGCTGAATTAAAAAAAGAGAAGGAAACTCTGCCAGAAAAATTAGAATATATCTCCCTACATCCACCCACTTCTAATTGTGGGTACACAGGAAATATGCCAACAAATATTATAAAATATATATGCCGAAGTATAGGGGCCATCCACCCACTGGCCATAGGGGCCATCCACCCACTTCAGCAAATATGCTCTTTTTTTTTTTAACTGCGGATGACAAATCACATCCAGCAGCACTGCACACACCTACTTACAGGTGAAACTCGAAAAATTAGAATATGCAAAAAAGTTCATTTATTTCAGTAATGCAACTTAAAAGGTGAAACTAATATATGAGATAGACTCATTACATGCAAAGCAAGATAGTTCAAGCCGTGATTTGTCATAATTGTGATGATTATGGCTTACAGCTCATGAAAACTCCAAATCCACAATCTCAGAAAATTAGAATATTACATGCAATCAATAAAACAAGGATTGTACATAGAACAATATCAGACCTCTGAAAAGTAAAGGCATGCATATGTACTCAGTACTTGGTTTGGGCCCCTTTTGCAGCAATTACTGCCTCAATGAGGCGTGGCATGGAAGCTATCAGCCTCTGTGACTGTTGAGGTGTTATGGAAGACCAGGATGCTTCAATAGCGGCCTTCAGCTTTTCTGCATTGTTCGGTCTCATGTCTCTCATCTTTCTCTTGGCAATGCCCCATAGATTCTCTATGGGGTTCAGGTCAGGCGAGTTTGCTGGCCAATCAAGCACAGTAATCCCACGGTCATTGAACCAGGTTTTGGTGCTTTTGGCAGTGTGGGCAGGTGCCAAGTCCTGCCGGAAAATGAAGTCAGCATCCCCATAAAGCTCATCTGTGGAAGGAAGCATGAAGTGCTCCAAAATCTCCTGGTAGACGGCTGCATTGACCCTGGACTTAATGAAGCACAGTGGATCAACACCAGCAGATGACATGGCTCCCCAAATCAACACAGACTGTGGAAACTTCACACTGGACTTCAAGCATCTTGCGGTGTGTGCCTCTCCATTCTTCCTCCATACTCATGGGTCCTTGGTTTCCAAATGAGATGCAACAGTTAATCACATCAGAAAAGAGGACTTTGGACCACTGAGCAACAGACCAGGTCTGTTTTTGTTTAGCCCAGGTAAGACGCTTCTGACATTGTTTGTTGTTCAGCCCATATCCAGGATCCGTCTGTGTGTGGTGGCTCTTCATGCACGGACTCCAGCCTCAGTCCACTCCTTGTGAAAGCCCCCAACACTTTTGAATGGCCTTTTCCTGACAATCCTCTCCAGGCTGCGGTCATCCCTGCTGCATGTGCAATGGTTAACAATAAAACAGTAACAATAAAACTGTAAAATTGTAACAGTGAATTGAACAGTAACAACAACAAAAAAACTAACTAGTTTTGGTTTTTAAAATGTAACATTTTTGGGGGGATTTGTACTTTTTTTTGTTACTTTGTTTAACTTTTTAAAACAGATTGTGGGTCTCTCCAAATGCGATAGCCAGTTTCCTGACTACCTAACATCTTTCAAGAGCCTGTGTAATTATGTGCCCTGAACTGTGCTGTACCCTATACTAATACTCCACTAGTGTGTGGTAGCGACAGAAGCAGTCCATAAGGAAGAGACCAGGTTGGCCAGGACAGGAGGAACAAAGAAGCGGGTGTCACACCTAATTCCATGTCTGCTACAGACACAACATCTTTTTTGGGCTGCCTTTTGGGTTGGGGTACCAGGAATGGCATCGGGAAAATGCCGCTCATGCACCCAGCTAACTGCAACTGGGTTGGGGGTTTGAGGCACAGCACCTTCTGGATACAAAAGGGCAATGATGATCTCTTCCTGGAATTTTAGGAAGGATCCACTATGTCCAGTTGCTTTGTAAAGCACAAATGCATTATATAGAACCAATTGAAATAGACACTTTTTTGTACCAGCGTCTGCCTTTTTGGGAAACTAAGAACAGCTTCATCATCTGGTTGTTGAAGTCCACCCCTCCCATGTTAAGGTTATAGTCGTGGACACAGAGGGGCTTCTCAACAACAACACCAGCTGGCGTGGTATTTTGGATGCTCGTATCTGCGTGAATGGAAGACAGGACAAAAACATCCTGTTTGTCCTTCCACTTCACTGTGAGCAATTCCTCATTTCTCAAGCAGGCTATTTCCCCCTTTCTAAGACGGGTATTTACAAGCCGCTGGGAAAAGCCAAGGCAATTAGGTAGCACGTTGCCACATGCGCCGATTCCAAGATTGTACAAATGTCTTAATAGTGGCACGCTTGAATAAAAATTGTCCACGTATAAGTGGTACCCCATATAGAAAAAGGATGCCACTAAGTCCCAAACCAACTTGCCACTGCTCCCCATGTAGTCTGGGCATCCGGGGGGCTCCACGTGACTATCTTTTCCCTCGTAAATCCAAAACTTATATGTATAGTCTGTTGCCCTCTCACAGGTCTTATACATCTTGACCCCATATCTGGCACGCTTGCTGGAGAGAAATTGTTAGAATGCAAGGCGGCCAGAAAAATGAATGAGAGATTTATCAATGCAGATGTTTTGCTGGGGAGTATAGACATCTGCAAATTTCTGGTTAAGGTGATTTACGAGGGGCCGAATTTTGTGGAGCCGGTCATGTTCAGGGTCACCCTGAGGACGAGAGAGTGTATTGTTGCTGAAATGCATAAAACGCATTATAATCTCATATCTATGCCTGGCCATATGATGAATCGGGTCCGTGGACCAATACAACTGCAATTCATTTTTTTTTAGTAATGCCCATGTTGAGGGTTTGGCTCAAAAAACCTTTAAATTCGGAAGCCGTAATGGGTTTCCATGCGAATTGTCTGGCAAGGTTTGAATCTGGGCTGGTGGCGATAAACTGTTGTGCATATAAATTGCTTTGATCCACAAGCCATGCATACAGATCCTCTATGAAAAACAGCTCCAAAAAATCAAGGGGAGTAGTTAAATTTGCTGTTTCCACCTGGATTCCGGGTTGGGCAGTGAATGGGGGAAATACGGGTGCTGCAGAATTTGTGGGCTGCCAATCGGGATTTGCAAGCACGTCCGGAAGGATACTATGGGCTCACCACGTCACCAAGTGATACTGCAGTGCTGGTATGTGAAAGACCAGGACATACTAGGCCGCTGGTGCTCGCCAGTTCACCAAAAGGTAGAGAGGTATTAGTACTGGCACTCTGCTGCATATGAGAGTCATCATGCATATGGAACATCTCAACAACCTGGGAACGGGGTCAGGTACGCCTGATTTTAGCAGGGACATCTTTTCCATTGTCTGAGCTATCTGTCAGGGTGCCGCTGCTGTCTACAGGTTCCTATTCTGAAGCTGATTGTGTCAGGGAGTCATCCCCTTTGCTCTCACCTGACATGGTCAGAATCCTGTAGGCCTCTTCAGCAGAGTACCTTTCCATTGACATTTTGGCCACTAAAAGGTACCTAGTGCGACTGGCTGCCAGAGACTGCTTGAACCGCTACAAAAAAATATACCGACAAGTGCTAACAGAGATCAGGCCTGATTCTGCGAACACTGCATTTTTGTGTGCAATGTATCAACTGACAGTGACCTACTGACACTGCACTTGCTGGGGGAGAAGGGGGGGGGTAAGCATAGGGGCTAAATGCAAGTGCTGGCAGGTGCTGATCCCACTAATGCTGCTTTTCTGGGGATACTATACTAATGTGAATGCTGGTATAGTGCTGATCTGATCAAAGATATTGATCAGTTCAGACACTATACTTGCAATGGAGGTTTATTGTGTATGTCAGCGTGTTCCTGGCAATCAACGGGTTAAATGTGATTACTGGTGTACTAATGGCAATCTGACGCAATCTGGGAGGGGCGCTAACGCTATCTGAAGTCACTAGCGACACTAATACAGTGGTCAGCAAAAAAAGACCCTCCCCCATCCATGCTCTTTTTAAAAGGAAGCATTAGCCTTGTGGAAAAAACAATCAACAAGATTCAGCTCTCAGACTTCACCGAGGTTCAGTGATATGTACGCTATTTGCTAACTAACCAGAAGGTTTAGTGAACATGCAGCAAACCAAACTTTTCCCAGTTCCTTCATCGCTATTGTCAAGTGCAAATGTTACAAGAATATTGTCCAAAGAGACAGGTTCTCTTCTACTAATTCATCTGTGTTGTACTGACACTAGAACAAAGAGTGAGTTAAATACTGTGTACATTTTCTCATGGTAAAATATATTTACACATCATATTCTTTGGAGAAGTCTCTTCGAGAAGTCCAGACTTTCCAGTTGTCTAGCAGAAATGTTTGAAGTATCCTAAAAGGTGTCTCAATTTACCTTATGTTTACATTCGTTAGGCTCAGTTGACATTAAAAAGGTAAAGAGATGAACCAATACATCAGAAATCTTTCATCTACTGTAGTGACAAGTAAAATATATAAGTTACATACATTATATATCAATTTAAACATTTTGTCCAAGGTTTTAGATACTAGAGCTCCCTGCATTTATGCTGCAAATATTCAAAATTTGCCAATTTTGTGGCTATGGTATAAAACAGCTTTATTTTTTCTTCAACTTTTTTTTTATTGCAGATACCATAAGAAATCATTTCTTTTGTAACTGTAATATACACCGTGTACCAAATTATTATGCAAATGATATTTTTCTCATTTACCTAAATAATTGATGTAAATAACAGTCAGCATAATTCTCATATTATCAACTATTAAGAGTACAATTCAAATTTTATTGAACAAACCTCCTAATGATAACAGTATTTTTTTTAAACATAAAACACTTACAATGCACTGTTCCAAATTATTACGCACAGTAAGTTTCAAAACACTTTATAGGTTGTAAAGAACTGAAAATTGTCATTTGTTGTGTTTGCAGCATATTTACTGAAATCAAAATCTAATTCAATCAAACTTTTAACAACATTTTAACTTTTTAAACATTTTAACAGGTCACGTTACATTGTAACATAGGACCCCTTATTTGATAGCAGCTTCACAAGTCTTGCATCCATTGAACTTGTGAGTTTTTTGGACAGTTTCTGCTTGAATTTGTTTGCAAGATGTCAGAATAGCCTCCCAGAGCTGCTGTTTGGATGTAAACTTCCTCCCACCCTCATAGATATTTTCCTTGAGGATGCTCCAAAGGTTCTCAATAGGATTGAGGTCAGGGGAGGATGGAGGCCACACCATGACTTTCTCTCCTTTTATCCCCATAACAGCCATTGATGCAGAGGTATTCTTTGCAGCATGAGATGGTGCATTGTCATGCATTATGATGATTTTATTACGGAAAGCATAGTTCTTCCTTCTGTACCAGGGAAGAAAGTGGTCAGTCATAAACTCCACATACTTTGCAGAGGTCATCTCTACACCTTTGGGGGCTCTAAAGGGGCCGACCCGCTCTGTTCCCATGATTCCGGCCCAAAACATGACTCTACCACCGCCTTGCTAACGTTGCAGCCTTGTTGGAACAGGGTGGCCGTCCACCAACCATCCACTACTCTATCCATCTGGACCATCTAGGGTTGCACGGCACTCATCAGTGAACAGGACTGTTTGAAAATTAGTCTTCATGTATTTTTCTGCCCAAAGCAGCTGTTTCTGCTTGTGAGCA